TGTGTTGATAATGAGCTGTTTGAGCAAGCGATTGATGTCCTCCGTCTTCTTAAGGTTGAGAAGGCTCTCTACAGCTTTGTTGAACTCTTCCCTCTTGGTCCTTGTACCCGAGCGAGTCCTTGGGGGTTCGTACATGATGGGCATCCGGTGCTTCTCCATGGTGAGGTCCTCATCAACTTGAGAGACTCATTGTTTGAGAGTTTATTCTTGTCTTATCAAGGCTTATTTCCATAACGTCTTGTGGCAGCTTTGATCCATACTTGTTACCAAATCATTTATCTCATTCACCGGTCATAAGAAAAGAGTTGCACAACCATTCTCTTATCCCATACACTTTCCTATCTATTCATCATTCATCCACTAACCGACATTAACGAGTTATACAACCATCAGACGGTTCCATCAGTCCACATACAAGATTATTCACCCCTGATCTTGTGTCAACGATGATTATAATGAAATTTGGATGTGATACTCATATCACTGCAGACTTTGGAATCAATTGTGGGATCGAGTTTTTAACAGTTTATTTGCGAGTTATTGTGGTGTCTTCGAGACAGCTTATGAAGTATTCTTTTTTTTTTTATCAAATTGGTCAAGGTAAAGATGTGATATGTGGATCCATATTACACATTAGGTTCAATAGTGGGTGGTTATGCTAGATGTAATAGTGATGCATTTTGATGAGTGTTTGATATGTTGTAAGCTTTGAATGATGTTTGATGGTGCATGTTAAGTATTAGATGAAGTTAAATGATGTATGATGTATTTGAAAAATTAGGTTAATTTTGTGTGAGCTGTATTTAAACTAACGCCGGTAGGTTAGTGGATAATCTTGTATAGTGATGTTTATCTTGACTCTGGCCGGTATCTCAGTCCAGTCAATTAAATAACTAGTGGATGGATAAATAATAAACAGTTGTTGTATGTAAATTATAACTAGCTGAAGAGATAAAACTTATGAAGTTTTTTTTTTTTTGGTCGAAGAAAGGAGACAATGTCTCCCCTTATTTATTCAAAGACAAAGAAACTAAAAAACATTACACCAGCACATGTCTGGGCCTAGTTAAACCATTTTGATCATCCAAAAAAATTAATGAAACACTCGCTGGAACCTGGTAAAAAACATGAATGCCTAAAGGCAATAAGAATGCAAGATTCGCTAATCCATCTGCAAGACGATTCGCTTCCATGTAGGTGTGTGAAATACGGACCAACCAGTCCCTTGCTAAGAAACCATAGCACAAGCGTGCTAGGAATGACAGGGGATGTGTATCACTTATCCCTGATGTCAAGAAGCCGACCACAATCTCTGAATCCACCTCGATCTCTAGTCGAGTGATCCTGCGTCCCCATGCGATACAGAGACCATAGTAAACGCCCCATAACTCTGCTAGAGGTGCCAAACATATGCCAATATTCAGGGCAAAGCCCCTTCGCTAGTTTCCCTCCTCATCACGTAGCACCCCTTCTGCTGTTGCAGCTCCAGGATTGCCGTGTGAGGCTCCATCCGTGTTCAATTTTACCCACCCGTCTGTTGGGAAAGTCCATGCAATTTGTCTCTCCACTCTGGGAACTGTATTCGACTGTCCTCTCAGCTTAGCGTGTGCTCGTGTTACATCATTTGCTAAGTCTTTCACGAAGCGTACTCTGTCCCTGCATTTGTCGAGATTCCCATAAACATTACCACATCACCATTTCCAGTTCCACCATACTGTTATTGCGAACACAGTAGCCCACTTGTCGCCATTTCTTATCATACTCCTCCTCAAGTTCCCGTACATCCATTCCAGCAAAGATTGTGTAAAGAACAATTGCTGTTTGCTCGGTGGTACCAGTCTAGATCATATCCCTTGCACCGTTGGACAATATCTCATCACATGAAGTATATTTTCTTCTCCTCCCTTGCAGACTTGACAGATACCCGTATCACTCAAATGTCGCCTCTGCTTCTCCACATAGGTCATAATTGCTTGGTGAGAAACTAACCATAAGAAAAATTTAACTATCTCCGGTGCCACCACTCACCATATACTCATAAAAAACGTCTGCATATTCAGTTTTGGTGACCGGTTCTTAGTAAGAAAACCATATGATGATCTTACCGTGAAGCTTCCATCTTGTGTTTCTCCCCACGACATCCTATCCTTAGCGTCTGTGATATCATCAGTGACCACAGCCCCCAAACACAGCTGTGTATGTGTGGATCGAAAAGGGGCTAGTTGTTGAGTTAGCCAACCTGTTCCATTCCTCCAAAAATCTCGTGCCTTCGCATCTAAAATCTCTACAGGGATATCCCTTACAGCCACCAGAAGTGACTCATTGAGGAGCCATTTATCCTCCTGAAAACTTATTTGGCGTCCATCTCTAAGCACCCAGCTCATCCCCAGTAGAATTACTTCTCTTATTGCCTTTGTCACACTCTTCCACGTAGTCTACCAATTGCTCTTGACAATAGTCAATGCTTTATTCTGTACTCCCTGCACTTTATATTTGCTTCGAAGCACTTGTGCCCACAAACCGTTCTGGTCCTGAAGCAATCTTCATCCCATTTGTGCGGGTAGTGCTTTGTTCATATCTTCTGATAAACGAACCCCTAACCCATCTTCCTGCTTAGGCAAACATACCCTTTTCCAAGCTATAAGATGCTGCTTCCGTTGTTCCACTGTGCTTCCCCATATGTAAGCTGTCGAAATCTTATCCAGCTTAAGCAGTATCGATTTAGGTAAGGTAATAGTGCTCATGGAATGTATTGGGATCGAAGACAGGACCAATTTAGTAAGAGTTATCCTCCCCGCAAGACTTAAAAATCGCTCTTTCCACCTAGCAAGTCTAGCTGAGACTTTTTCCAGAACCTCTCCATATGTGGCTTAATTAATCTTCTTCTGTAACGACGGCATGCCCAAGTACTTCCCCAAGTTCATAGTAGATTGGATACCACTCTCATCACTAATCAACTTTGCTAAATCCCGACTGACATTACTAGAGAAGAAGATCTTCGACTTTTCCAAACTCACTTTCTGTCCTGAAGCCTGACAAAATCTTTCCAATACTTTCCGGATCATCCTGACTTGAGTTATTGACGCTTCAGCAAAGAGTATCAAATCATCCGCAAAACAGATATGTGACAATTTGGGACCCCCACAGGACAAGCTAATTGGCTTCCATTCTTTAGAAGCAGTCGAGAGTTCAATAAGATGGCATAATCTCTCAATGCACAAAACAAAGAGGTATGGTGACAGAGAATCACCTTGCCGGATGCCACGTTTCGGTCTGAAAGCTTCTGTTTTCTCTCCATTCCACAAAAGGCTCATGGAGAGATCAATCACACACTTCATAACCCAACCCAACCAACTTTCTGGAAGCTGTGCTGCACGGAAAATATCCTCCAAAAGGTCCCACTGAATACGATCATAGACTTTTTCAAAGCCCAGCTTTAATAACATCCACCCTTTCCTGCCTTTCTCAAGGTCCAACTTCAGTAACTTATGAAGTTAAATGATATGATTATTATCAATAAATATTAAATGATAACTTAATATATACTTAGTGAAGTATATTATGATATTAAAATATATCCATAGTTTATAATATATTTATATGTACGATTACTCAAATGATGTTTTTTTTTTTTTTTTGGTCAAAACTAATGATGTTTAAGATGGAAAGTTAGAAGCGATGCGATTAGCTATGAGTGATAACACGTTTTCACAGCAATGTGATAATCGTATAATAATAATTTGATTGGGATCAAATCTGAAATGAACCTTTTCCTACAAAAATGACTTCAATAAAATTGATATTTAAAATATTTGTATACTGCAAATAATGAAAACTATTTTAAAAAATATTTGTATACTGCAAGTAATGAAAACTGTTTAAAAAAATATTTGTATACTGCAAATAATAAAAACATGAGTATGTCTAACTTAATATTTCTCTTAGCATAATTTAAACCTAATTCGATGGTTATATCTGTGCAAGTGACTTTGCTTCGAGCATAATTTTAAGTTAGCATCTCAAGGTACCTGGTGGTCCTTTCATTTATTGTGATAATATTGATGCGACATTTTTGTGCGAATCCCGTCTTCCATTTACGTATGAATCATATTATTTTGGCTTACCAAGAGAACAAAGTCTCCCATATCTCCTCATCTGATCAGTTTGTCAATGTTCTCACCAAAGCTGTTATGCGTGCTTGCTTTTACGATCTTTCAATCAGAATTGGCGTCTACTCCAATGCTCCATTAGTGTGAAATATATTTTTTAAATATATCTTTCTATCTATCTATGTTTACTCTAAATAAGGACACACGTAACTTTAATTCAATAATCAATAAAAATTAAAATCGTATATTGTCATCTTCTGGTACAGAATCGGTTTCCACCAAAGATTTGCTTTACACATATTCTTGTTTTTCACTTACACATATACTTGTTTTTCACTTACACACGTTCTTGTGTTTTGCAACCAATAATTGAACAATAAGAGACGTTTTAATATCTTGATCGCATGTTTTCAGTAGACTTCAATAAATTGAGCACCTTTTATCCAAACAAAACGTAGTGAGTATTAATCCAGCAGTAAAAAACAAAAGTTTGATGGAAATGTTGTACTAAAATTTCCAAGTGTATATATGATATTGGAATGTCAATTATAAACAATCATTTTGATGGTTCTCAAAGGCTAAGGATCAGTCAATCTTCAACCTTTGCTGAGCTATGGGAAAATGGTAGTTGGGTTCAACCACCTGCGAGTTCGGAAAGATAAGTCATTATTCAAGCATATATTTATACTCTCTCCATTTCAAATACTCGTGACGACTAAGTGTGTTAGGCTACTTAGCTAACTGGGCCAAATTATTTGGCTTTGTAGCATTTTTGACTCTCATGCTTTAAATTGAAAATATTTTTATTAATAAGATATAGAGGGTCTGACTTAATTAAGTTACTGCCAGCGAACAAATAGATATATGATAGAATCTAAAGGAAGAATGAGCTTAATGTCTTCTTGCGGTAAGTGAAGGTTTCATATGGACAAGCTCTTCTTTATTCGCTCCCATAGATAAGGCTAAACGACCCGCCTCTAAGAATCGTTTCATAGCATTTTCCATATACCTCTTCCCTTGAATCACAGTCATTCCTTTTCCTGTTTCTTTAGGAAACGATGTAAGCGCATCATCTCCTTTTAAAACCGCAGCTAGTTGTATAAGCTCTTGCTGAAACTCACTCATTTTAGCATTTTCATTTGCCTTTGTCATTCTTATCTTAACCGGCTCCGGTAACGTCTCCGGACAATCAGTTCGAGGCTCTTTTCGGATTTGCACAATGTTCTCAAAAGTCCCAGCCCATTCATCTCTCTTTGTGAGGAAAGGTGTTGAAAGATTGAATAGTTTCTTAACAGTCGCTGGGATAGATGAATGCTCGTATTCTGATGATGGGAATGGTGAACCGTTTGGTCCATGTACGACCGTTCCTTTCTCGATCCATGGTGACACTGCTATTGTTGGTACACGAACACCTAACCGGTTGAAGTGGAATAGAAACGGTTCTTGTCCGACTATACCATCCGGGCTAGGGACATTACGGACAGGTGTTGGCACGTGGTCGAAGTACCCCCCGTGCTCGTCGTAAGTGATCAGTAATAAAGTTTCGTTCCACTGTGGGCTCGCTCTTAGGGTCTCGTACACTTCCTTTATAAACTTCTGAAATGTGTAAATGATAATATTGTTAGACATCATAATTAATTTAGCGCTTCCTTTATAAACATCGCAAATGTGCCAAACTCAGAATAAGATATAGTGAGTTATGATCATAAAATTAGAATAAGGAAGGTTTGGCTGTGAATGTGCCAAATGTGTAATTAATTTGGCGCTTCCTTTTAATAAAATACAGTCATAATTAACTTTTAAATAAACATTTTAATCAGAAGGAAAGAAGAAGAAAAAAACCTGTCCTTGGTAGACGTCATGAGATGGATGATCATCAGTAGCAGGCTCTAAGATAGTATCCATGTAACGTTGCTCAATCACAGTATAAGCAGGGAGATTCCCTTTCTTTGCATCGTTTTTGAAGGAGAGTGCATAGCTATGAAACTTAAAAACGTATTTGAGTTTCCTTAGGTTCCGATAAAACAATATAGCTGGAATATTCTGGTAGTATATTCCAAAAGAGATTCCGTTTTCTTCAAGATTCTCGAAAATAGTTCTTTGAGGATAACCTTCTGCAAGTAACTTTGGGTTATTGCTTGTGGCTCCTCCTGATGTCCCTGAGTGCACGAACATTCGGTTTGGTTGTGTTGACGATGGAACCGATGCAAACCATCTGTTTTAACCAATTTCAGATTTAATTATCATCTTTTTACTACTAATCATTTTCGTTAAAAAAATACTCCTTTTCAAAAAGAGAAAAAAAGAAAAAGATGATTTGCAATTTTCACACATATTAAAATATATATTAAAACTTAAGTGTAAATGTATTATTTTTTTATGCTTTACAATTTCCTAAAATTTATTACGTAATAATACTTCAATAGAGAGAGGGTTAAAAGAGTTTTTTTGTCAACATACTTTTTCAAAACAGACACGGTTAGAAGAAACCAAATCCATCTACAGGAGAGACAGATACATAATACATGGAGCACCATATAAACCCACTACAGCAACAAGCTCTCCCATATTCAGAGAAATGGAGAAATCTATAAATTAATTTGTTATTGCTTTTTAGTAATATCTCTTACTCTTAACTAATTATATATTCCATAGTATACATATATATACACAGCAGTCAACAGGGGCGGACGAGGGCTTTCACCAAGGGGGTCACATGCCCCGACGCCTAATTCTTGTTTACTTTTAAATACTTTCTCTCTATCCTATTTTACATGTTTTATAAGTTTTTGTTTGTTTATTTTATTCGATTTTTTCAAGTTTTTGTCTAAAAATTAATGTTTTATGACCAATATTCTACAGTATTTTTTCTTATTGGTTAAATTATATTTAATTAGATATTAATTGGTATATAAAAGAAATAAGAAAAACTAGAATTGATATATATTTTTAAAATTCGTGTTTTAAATTTTTTTTTAAATGCGACAGTGTGAGTAATAAATCTTTGTTTATTTAAGTGCTCTCTCATTCAAATAATTTCATTAGGCCAAAACTTAAATGATAATTTGACATTTGACTCCTTATTTTGACATTTCTACTTTAATTCTACTAAGCCAAAAGAATAGGAAAATATATATATATATATAAAGTTAAAATGTTACCTATCGAAAACAGCGAATTCAGAGACAAGTGATTTGTAGACAGGAACCTTATCAGGTTCGAAACCATTCATAACACTTGCAGACATATTACCAGTGGGGTCCTGGGAATATGCTTGCTGAACAAACCCGTTCATCGGTGGAGGATCCATGGATGTATCATTCGATCCGAATATCTGTTCCCTTATTGCCTGAAACGAATGACCTGGATCCGGATCCACGTAATGTGAACCTGACCCGAATTGAATTTTCTTAGAGGAAGGGTCCGATGCAGAGATCGGGTTTGACTCCGAGCCATCTACACCGTTGATCTCCGGGTTTAGCTTCTTCATCCATCCAAGCATATGATCGAACGATCGGTTTTCCATTACCAGAACAACGATGGTTTTGATTGGACTTGTTGCATGTGCTTGGTTGTATAGAATCGTTGTTGCTAGCAGGAAAATCAAAGTAAGTGACGAAACACATTTTTTTATAGACATTCTCTGTTTCTTTGGGGAGGAAGAATGATATTTTGTTGATTGAGAATTTGAGATGATGAATGGATGGTTAACTTTTGGTGTTAGGCCTTTTATATTTATTTTTGGATTTTTGAAGCTGTGTATGTTCTAAATCTCTCACAGAATATATATAGGCTGCAACTGATTACAACAAATTACAATATAAAGAATATATTGGGGTGGAATAAAAAAATATGGAATGAAATGAAAATTAAATTCCTTTCATTCTTTAGCATTTTGAAGTTGAATAAATGGAGTAAGTTGAATAATTTTTTAATATCCTTAAACTGGTAAGAATTTTGTGGAATTTTGTTAAATTCTCAATTCCACATGATTTCATTCCTAAAAACTAGAATCCAGTCACAGCCATAATGTATTAAAGAAATGGTATAAACATTCTTATCCCATTATTAATTGAGAAGAAATTTGGGTTGTGGTTGTGAGTTATTGTGGATGATTATTTTTTACTCATTATGCTAATTTACATAATTAACTTTAATGAAATTAATTAGTTAAAATAATTTAGTTTATATTAGTTTTGTATAAAAAGGTAATTATCCTAAATAATGAAAATAGTTAATTCTTAAATTGTTTGGTTTTAAAAAAGTAATTAATTTTAGTGAAATTAAAAAAGATATATATATATATATATATATATATATATATATAAGATATATATATTGATTTCTGTTTCTTTGGGAAGGAAGAATGAGATTTTGTTGACTGGGAAGATGAATATGTGGATAATTTTTGGTCTTAGGCCTTTTATACTTACCTTTAGATTTTTGAAGTTGTGTCTGTTCTAAATCTCTTAAAAATATATATATATATAATGTATTAAGAAAATAGTATAAACATTCTTTATCCTATTATTAATTGAAAATCAATTTGGACTGTGGTGGAAAATTATTGTGGCTAATTATTTTGTTGCCTCTCATGCTAATTTACATAATTAACTTTAATAAAATTAATTATGCTAATTTATATAATTAACCTTACTAAAATTAATTAGTTAAAATAATTTAGTTTATATTAGTATTGTATCAAAAAGGTAACCTAAAAAATAAAAACAGTATATTCTTGAATAGTTGGGTTAAAAAAAATTATTTAACTTTAATGAAATTAGGCTGTAACTGGATTGTAATTCTTAGGAATGAAATTATGTGAAATTGAGGGTTCCATATAATTTCATAAAATTGTTACTAGTTATAAGAAAATGAACAATCATTCCACTTATTTCATTCATTCCACAAAAGAAAAAATAAATCTTTTTGAAAATCTATTCCACTTCAAAAATATTATGTAGTAATGAATGTAATTCCATTTTCATTCCATTCCATATTTTTTTATTCCACATAAATTTATTCTATTTATTCTTTATATTTTAATTTATTAAAACAAGTTACAGCCTAAAAATATATATAAAGTATATATCTTGATTTTCTGTTTCTTTGGGGAGGAAGAATAAGATTGTTGACTGAGATGGTGAATGGGTGAATAACTTTTGGTCTTACACCTTTTGTAATTATCTTTGGATTTTTGAAGTTCTGTTTGTTCTAAATTTCTCGAGAATATATATAATATACTAAGGAAATGGTATAATCGCTCTTATCAAACTATTAATTGAGAAGCAATTTGGGGTCGAGTTGAGAGTTATTGTATCTGATTAGGTATTTACCTGCGCTATGCTGCAGGATATTTTTCTAAATTTTATATATATTTTGAATATAATAAAATTATTTTTATAATATAAATGAGTATTATATTTTTATTAGCATAAATTACATATTTATATGTTTTTAATTTGAATAAACATTGTATATCCTTAATTTTTTATTTTTTGAAAGAAAAATTTGCTATTAAATTTGTTTAGCTAATTAATTATAAATGTATATGTTAGATTAAAAGAATATATTTTCTTGTACCTTCATGCTAACGACAAATGTAATATATTTTCTCCAATAAATTGTCATTTGATCCTCCTTTGTAATTATATAAAGCAAAATACCATTTTAAAAAAAGATTTATTAATAAATATGATTATCTTGAATTATAAAATTTATTTATTTATCGAATATTTATTATAAACATATGTTTCTAAAACTACCAAACTATAATCAATAACATTCATATCAAAATCATTGCTACTACTTTAGAACTAAATAGTAAATTCTGTTTGAACTGTTGAAATATCGTTTTAGTTGAAGTTAAATAATTAAAGTTTGGTTACTGTAAACATACTTTAACTTAGAAATTTAATACAGAGAAATTTCATCTTTTTACAAAAACCGAGAAATCGCTTTTCCCATCAAAACCAAAAAACTTTATTTTCCCATGAAACTAAGAAAAGCGCATATTCCAGCCAAAGCAAAAATAAATCATTTTCTCGTCAAACCTAAAACCTAAAATTTTATTTTCGAACGAGAACCTGTGTTTTCTCGCCAAAACTGAAAAACTCATGTTTTTTTTATCAAAACCAAAAAAAATCAACTTACTGCAAAAACCAAAAAATCGTATTTTACCTTCAAAACCAAAAAATTTATTTTTCTACAAAAATCGAGAAATCTTATGTTCCCGCCAAAACCAAGAATTCATTTTCTCGTCAAACTAAAAATCACACTTTCCTACCAAAATAAATAAACTACAATTCCCTGCGAAAACCAAAAATTGCATTATCTCCCGAAAAATTGTGTTCTCCCGTGAAAACTAAGAAATTGCATTTTCTCGCGAAAACAAAAAAAAATCACATTATTCGTCAAAAACTAAAAATTTCCATTTCTCTTCTAAACCAAAAAATTGCTTATTCCCGCCAAAATCAAGAAATTTTATTTTGCCATCAAACTGAGAAATTGCATTTCCCACCAATATCGCCAAATTCCATTTAACCGTGAAAACTTAAAAATCACATTTTCACGCGATAACCTAGAAATCGCATTATCCATCAAAAGCCAAAAATTTGCATTTCCTATTAAAACTGAAAAATCGCATTTTTTGTCAAAATTGAAAATCTTGAATTTCGCTATCTTCGCCCTTTCATATTGGCACATGTATGACATTTCCGTAGAGTGGGAAATTGCCACATGTATGACATTGTCCGTAGAGTGGGAAATCTTGAATTTCGCTATCTTCGCCCTTTTATATTGGCTGGTCGGGAGGGAAGATCTTCTGCATTCAAACCTGAGGTCGTACTTGAAGCCAACCTTGATGAATTTACATCCTTGATAATGAAAATTCAACATATAGACCATTCTTTCTTGCATGTCTCAATGTTGGTAATATAACAGCTCACTATGAAGAAATTTTGTGGCTTCTTGCTCAAACTGGGCCATCACAAGTAGGAATTAACATGTTACTTGTGCTACACCACATATCATATATGCAAGGCTACCCCTAAGCATATTTTTAGTTATCGCCACAGGGTTTGATGAAGATTATTATGTGATACAAACGTTGTTCAGAGATGTTCCTGATTTGAGGAAGGCTGTGACACCCGATTCCGATCATACAATCGAACCGGCAAATGTCAAGATAACTGTTTGCGCTTAGAGTCAAACGCGTTACCTTCTCTACAAGTCCCAGAATCCGAAGACGCCTTGTTAAACAAACAACTCCACACCAGATGCCATACTCAAACGTCCTGACTCACCTAACCTGCTAGAGGGATCGCGAGAGAGAAGATAGGGTGGAGGAGTGAGTAATTTAGATTACCAAGGAGAATGAACCTATACTATCCTATTAATGCACCACAACTTAACAAACGTTAAGTTCAAGCCTAAAACAGTACCATAGAAAGTCATAAAGACTTCACACAATATCCTATCAGTCTTTAGGTAACTGCGAATACCAGGACCACACAATGATGACTTACGCCTTAGCACTTAGGATGCTGATAGCTTGCTATTTTAGATAATTTTAGGCTGCATTTCATGCATCTTTTCCTTTGTTTTTGCGTTATAGTTTAGCATTTTAGTATCATCTGCACTTAGAATCAACATGGCATGCATTTAGCTTAGGATTGCATATATTTGCATACATGTGCATGTTTGTGGTGGTCTTCAGGTGTATTTAGAGTTTCTTGGAGCTGGGGAGGAGATGGAAGCATCTTATGATCAAAGAAGATGTCAGAAATGGAGTTCTTGCAAAGTCTGGTCCATATCGAGCAAGCACATCAAGCAGAACAAACGTGGAGTATTCTCGATGCCAGCAGCAGAACGAGAGGAAAAGGGTCAGCACAAGAATTCCAAGCCGTTAGTCTGCATCGAGGACCAGCATCGAGGAAGGACGTCGATACATGCTGCACAGAGCATATCGAGGTGTTGCATCGAGGAGAACACCGAGAACCCACCTCGATATCGAGCTGACAGCATCGAGCAGAACACCTTCCTTTGCACCTCGGTGTGTCAACGCCGAGAGTTGACCAAGATTTTTCTACTTTTTGTCAAAATCTTATCTTCTTAGCTTATTTAAACTAAACCTTATCTTTTTAGCATCTTATCTTCTTCTTTACCCTATTTTGGACCTTGCGGAAAACTACAAAGAGATTTTTATGGGATTTTGATCAAAATCACTCTTTTTAATAAAGTTTTACACTTCCTTTCTCATTTTTTCTTCTAGTTTTTGTTTAATCATGTTTGATCTACCATCTCTGCTTATTTCTGTTGCGTTCGCTATGAGTTGTGAGTAGTTTCATATGGTTTGAGGTTGGAGCAGATTTGGGGATGATTGGTTGATAGCTTAGAGTGTTTTAGTTTGATTGATGCTTATATTACCTTGCTTAGTTGTTCTTAAGGCTTGAGTAGCTTGTTTAAGTGAAATAGATTATAGGTGTTTGCTGCATCACAAGTGTTTGTTTAAATGCCTCAAAGAACTTTGTTAGGAACATTCTCCTAGATGATTATATTGGCGTTTAGGTAGCATGTTTGGTATATAAGAGCTTTGTGTTTCCATGCTGGTTTTGCACAGATACGCCATCACAAGTGGGTCTGACATGT